GCCAACCTGTCTGCGTAGAGACCTTGTCTCACACAAACAGAAAAATAAAAAGGAAAAGATAGGCTTCACTTGAAATTCCTCCAGAGTTAAACATTTACTTAAATTCTGTACTTGTCTCACAAAAAACTGGAGTGACCCCCACTTAAAATTTAAGGCTAATATAATATTGCTATGAAGTAATGAATTTTTAATAAGTTACTAACAGATCAAAGAGTTCTCAGAAACGTTAGTAAACGCTGATCCTAAAAATCAAAAACAAAAATGATGGAGCACATAAGGGTGGCTAAACAGATAAGAAAACTTGTTGATTTTGCAGAGGACATGGATCAATCCCCAGAACTTGTTTTGACATTCAAAAACATTTGGGACTTCAGGTCAAGAGAATTCAATTTTCTTTTCTGACTTCAGTGAGCTCCCGGCACACATGCAGTACATATCCATAGATGTGGATGGGCAAAAGATACATGCACACTTTTTTCAAAATTAAAAACGAGGTAGGGAGAATATTCTACACCTGCAATCTAATGCATGTTATATAGTTTAATGTCAAATGACACAAGCTAAAGTCATCTAAGAGGAGAAAACCACAATTACAAAAATACCTCGAAACCCAATGTGGTGGCACACACCTTAATACCAGCACTGGAGAGGCAGAGGAGGGGAAGAAGAAGTACTATTGAGGCAGGGAATTCAGGAGAGATGGCTAGAACTAAGAGGCATCTGGAGGATGATATGAGAACCTACTGCAGCAAAATTTCCTAAATATATATGAAGGTAATCCTAATGAGTTCTCCATATAATAGGGATATGGAGTCCCAACTGGCCACCTCTTGACACCAAATGAAGCTTCCAGTATTGAAACTGCATTGCCTTCAATCCAGTTGTTGGCCAACAGGGTGCCATGGAAATTTTCAAAAACCTATGCTTTTGTTCTGACAATGGGTTGCTCTCAGCAAAGTTACGGTGGGGCCTACTGCCAAGCACAACACCCATAAAAATTATTTAAAATAAAGAAGTTAACCTGGTGTTTAAGGTAAGCTTTCAGTGTTAAGTTCTAGTGTCTTTGGTTAAGGATGATACTCTGCAGGCTACTGAAAAAGAAATCTTAAACAGCAATCCAGCCACAAAATCTTCAACCTACAGTATTTCCTGCTTGCAAGATATGTTAGGGAAATGGCACAGAACTTACAGGAGTAGCGGACCAATGTCTGATTTTACTTAAGGTCCACTACAGAAGCGGAACCCAAACCTGAGACTGCTTGGGTAACCAAGAAACAGAGACAAGATAGACCAAAGACCTGCTTTCAAACCTGTTACACTGTCTTCACTGTGTGCCATGAGGAAGGGGATGAAATACACCAGAGGGCTTGGGAAACTGCAAAATCTTTTATTATTTTCACCACTAAAGCAGAGTGGCTGATCAACCAGGGCCACCACACATGAATTGAGACACTTGTTTCCCTGAGCAGGGGCTGAAACGAAAGGGGCTTTAATCCCAGGTGCATGCTGGGATTAAAAGCAGGCACCACCATGCCTAGAGAGGTCTTTGATTCATATGCTTGATTCTGGGGCACTTTTTCTTTTGTTGGATTGCCTTGTCCAACCTTGATGTGATGGTTTTGTTATTTTGTACTGTAATGTTTCCTTGTTACTACTTAGAAAGCTGTTCTTTTCTAACAAGACACAGAAAAGGAGTGATCCCATTGGGAGAGATGAGAGCAACTGGAAGAGTGCAAAAAAAAAAACTGTAATCATGATACATTATATGTGAAAACAACCTATTTTCAATAAAAGAAAAAAATTAAAAATATGTAGAAAAGCTCTAGCTTTTGCAAACATGTAGGGGTTTCCTAATCAGAGATTGATGGGTGAGGGCCCAGCCCACCGTGGGTGGCGCCACACTGGGCTGATGGTCCTGGTTTCTCTAAGAAAGCAGGCTGAGAAAGCAATGGTGAGCAAGCCAGTGCAGCGCTTCTCCACGGGCTCCGAGTCAGTTCCTGATTCCACCTTTTTGCTGTCTGAATTCCCAGGAGATGCTTTAGTAACTGGAGAAGCTTTGTTAATTGTAGATGTGGGAGAATTAAATATCCTCTTTGAGATACTTAAAAGGTTCATCTTTATGCTTCTGTTGTTCTAAAATTACTTCTAGTACCATAATCTGTATTAATCTCAGTTCTGTGGATTAACAAAATTTGTAGAATGAATCTCTATATGTATAGGATGAGGATTCATTAGAATGACTTGCAGGCTGAGCTAATCTAAGAATAGCTTGACAAGAGCAGAAAGTCCAAGAAACCAATAATACTTGGACAGTACACACAGCTTGATGACTCAGTTGGTCTTAACACAGGCAGCAGTCATGTAGAAGTAGGCTGTAGAGCTTGTTTTTAAAACTACTTTATTTCAGATGTTATTCCCTTCCAACCTCCCAACTCTACGTAGGATAGTGAAGGTTAGTGGGGAGAGAGGGCCCAGACTCTTTTGCTTCTCCTGGCTGTTTAGGGTCAAGGGGTCCAATCTCCCTCAACCTCAGAGCCAGCAATCTCCTTCAAGATGCTGCACCCTTAACTGTTTCTCTCTGTCTGCTCCAAAGTGCTACACGGCACACACCAACACCACACCTTTGTTTTCTCGGCTCTCAATTTATATCCTGAGTCCTAGACTGTGTCCTTCTTATGTGCTGCACGTGGAAGGCTGTTAGCAGCTGGCAAATGCCATGCCCTGCACTAGACAATTAACAGGTGTGGACAAACTTTAGCCCAACTAAAACCCCATGCTTGGGATTAAAACAAAAACATGTTTACATAACTGAGTTTACAAAGAAACCAAAACTTCCAGTGAGGAAATGGGCTTGCAATCAAGAGGAAAAGCAGAGAGTTGTTAGCGGAAGAATTAAAGTGGGATATCCTCAGATGATAAAAAGTCCTGAAACTCATTAGTGAAGTTCACTATTAGTTCCCAGAAGAGGTAATCTCTAGATCCGAGAAGTTGGTCCTGGTTAGGAAGAGCAATTCAGGGAGAATTAGATGCAAGGGAACCAGGAAATAGTTCCTAGGGATGCTTTTCAGCTTTGGAAAGAAATAGAGTAATAGATAAAAATGACAAATCTGAAAACAACAGTGATCAGGAAAAAGCAGAGCACTATACTAAAAGAGAAATTAGAAGCTGAAGATATACTAAGATATACTATCTAATGTCTCTGATGAGGTTGAGGATTTTTCTCCTCTTTGTGCTGATTTTGCTCTCCCCAACTCCAGCTCTAATTTCCTCTGCTCCTAAAACCTATACATCAAGTTTAGCTTCTAATAGAATGGGAACTTTTTCCACTGCTTCACTTCATCTATTATTGAGGCTATTAAGAGGTTTCTGATCTCCTGATAAGAAAATTAAGTTCTTCTAAATCAGGGTAAACATCTCCAATGCAAGAGGCTCTGTCCAGAAGATGGGAGCAGATGTCAGTGAGTGTAATGCTCAATCCTAAAAACCAAAGGCAGTAAGTTAGAAACTATACACCCATTTTATTTAGGACTCTTGAGGATCTTGAGCAGGCTTGTGCTCAAAATGAACAACTGCTCCTTTTCTCTCCTTGATTCTATTCCTGGGGAAGTGTTTCTTCCCTTTGACTGCTGGATCTCAGCAAAGGCTTGTTTTACTGGGGTGAATATTTACTGTGGAAGACTGATTATTCAGAAAGATGCCAGGAACAAGCTATTAGAAACCATGTAAATAATGTTCACATACTTTTTGAAATGTCAGAAAGCATGTATAGTGATGTTCAGTTACAGATTACAGATCCTCCTGTGGATTGGGGACAAATCAGTGCTTTAGCCTTATAGGCATGGATGAATTCTGGATTCTGGAAAAAAGTAAGAGAAAATTAGAAAATTTCTACAGTTAGACAATGGCCTGATGAGCCCTATCATTGTTTCCTCTCCTCTGCAGGCAGGCAGTCGCCTGGTAGTTGATGGGGAGGTGGAAATGGTAATTGTTAAACAGTTGGCATATGAGAATGCTAGCGCTGGCTGCATGCCAGGCTGCCATCCACCCCTCTGGAAAAGAGGATGCTTCTGGGTTGACATAGGCCTTCTCTCTGGCCATTCTCTCCAAGGCAGAATACTACCTCAATTATTGGCAGCCATCCAAAAAAAGAAAACTTAGTAAAAATAATGGCAAACGATGTTTTAAATGTGGTCATCTTGGACATTTTAAAAGACAGTGTGCACAAGGAAGACGGAGCGTTCCTCAGGTCATGGACACTAAGATTTCAGGTTTATGCTCTCACTGTAAACAAGGAAAGTATAGGGCAAACCCAAGTATATTCCTGAGTGGTGATGAAGAATGGTCTTTGCCTCAAGGAAACTGGATGAAGGTAAATCCCAGGCCCAGCCAAAATTTGGGGTGCATTCAGGAACAACTCGGATTAATCTAAAAAGGTGAATACCAGTCCTACAGCCCTTAGTTTCCATCACTCCAATGCATCAAAAACCTGAGAGCACCCTCATAGAGTCCCAGACCTGACCTCAGTGCCACATCCAGATTCATATTAACAACAGAAATGGGAGTCCATGCCATATTTCCTGGTACATTTGGGCCTGTGCAAGAAGGAAAGGCTGGACTGATAATAGGCAAAACTAGTGTGATCAGTTCTAGACTGGGATTATAGTGGTAAGATTAAAATTATGGCATCTGTTCCTGTTGGCACCCAAACTTTACAGAAAAGACAACACATTATTACACAATGATTCCAATGTCAGTGTTTAATTTGGTAATGTCTTCTCAGGAAAGGGGCACAGAATATTGTAGGTTCTTTTTGTCAGTATGAATTTTTTCATGGTTTTGAAGAGTATTGAGATGTGCAAAGGCCTTCTCACATTGATTACATTCATAGAATTTCTCTCCAATATGAGCTCTTTCATGCAGTTGAAGACTACTGTAATATACATAAGCTTTTCCACAGTGATTACACGTATAGGGTTTCTGTCCAGTATGAATTCTTTCATGCATCTTAAGATGACTATTACCTGCAAAGATCTTACCACATTGATTACATTCATAGGGTTTTTCTTCAGTATGATTTCTTTCATGGTTGTAAAGACTACTGTTACTTGCAAAGGCTTTACCACACTCATTACATTTATATGGCTTCTCTCCAGTATGAATTCTTTCATGTATTTGAAGAGTATGGTTATATGCAAAGGCTTTACCACATTGATTACATTCATAAGGTTTTTCTCCAGTATGAGTTCTTCCATGGAGTTGAAGATTACTGAAATATGCAAAGGTTTTACCACACTGATCACATTCATAGGGTTTCTCTCCAGTATGTGTTCTTTCATGAATTTGAAGACTATTGCCATACGCAAAGGTTTTACCACACTGATTACATTCATAGGGTTTCTCTCCAGTATGAATTCTTTCATGCACTTGAAGAGCACTGCGACATTGAAAAGCTTTACCACACTGATTACATGCATAAGGTTTCTTTCTACTATGATTTCTTTCATGCATCTTAAGATGACTGTTACTTGAATACACTTTTCCACACTGACTACATTCATAGGGTTTCTCTCCAGAATGGGTTCTTTCATGCATTTGAAGACTATTGCAATATGCAAACACTTTACCACATTGATCACATTCATAGGGTTTTTCTCCAGAATGACTTTTTTCATGCTTGTAAAGACTACTATTACTTGCAAAGGCTTTACCACACTGATTACATTTATATGGTTTCTCTCCGGTATGAATTCTTTCATGGAGTTTTAGAGTACTGCGATATGCAAAGGTTTTACCACACTGAGAACATTCATAGGGTTTCTCAAGAGTATGAATTCTTTTATGTATATGAAGAGTACAGTTACGTGCAAAGGTTTTTCCACACTGAGTACATTCATAGGGTTTCTCTCCAGTATGAGTTCTTTCATGCATTTGAAGACTATTGTAATATGCAAAGGTTTTACCACATTGTGTACATTTATAGGGTTTCTCTCCAGTGTGAATTCTTTCATGTACTTGAAGAGAACTGCGACATGTAAAGGCTTTACCACATTGATTACAGCCATACAATTTCTCTCCAGTATGAGTTCTTTCATGCCTTTTAAGAGAAGTGTTACATGAAAAAAGTTTACCACACTGATTACATTCATAGGGTTTCTCTCTAGTATGAGTTCTTTCATGTATGAGAGGATAAGTGGGACATGCAAAGGATTTCCCACATTGAGGATTTTTATACTTTTTCTCTCTAGTATTACTTCTATCCACTTGATGATGGCTGTGACATATAAAGGCTTTATCTTCTTGTTTACAGTCATAGGATTTCATTTCCAAATGAGTTCTTTGGTGGAATTCTAAAGAGGCTTTATCACATTTATTACATTCATAGAGACCCTCTTCATTATAGGTTGCTTTGTGTTCTTCAAGATACCTGTGAAGGTTAAAGCTTTTACTACTTGGATCATATTTATCACTTCCTTTTCCCATATGCGATTTTTCACTTCTTTGAAGAGAACTGGAAGAACTCAAAGCTTTTCCACTCTGATTGCATTTACAGCATTTTTCTATAGTGGGAGTCACAATACATGTGCAAAATGAGGCAGGGCAGACAGAAGATTTTTCACATTCCTTGTACTCACAGGGCTTTTCTCCAATGTTAGTATTTTGATGTATTCCCACTGAATCTGGAAAACCAATTATTTGTAAACTTGTATCCCATTCATCTTGTCTTCTCATAGTGGGAATGACCACATATCTTCTAATTGTTCTGGGAAAGAGAGTGGCACACTGCTGCTTTCCATGTTCCTTCAGATCATGTGGCTTGTATCTAGGGGGACAGCCGCTATACCTATCACAGAAACAACAGCAAATAAAAGATGTTCACATTGCATTCACACACTTTAACTTTTTGTTTCTCACAGACATGTGATATAGAGATTTAAGATTCTCCACCACAAAAATCTTGACTTTCATAATTAAATTATGAAATTATTATAATTACATTAAATTACTATAAGCCATACAAGCACATGAGTAACAGGAGTATTATTATGGACAATTTGTTTATAACAGGTCTTGGACATACAGTAAATCGCTAATCAATGTGTTTACCTTTTCTGATACTTGGAAGTTATAAAGCGAAGTGGATAGAGAGTTTTGTAATTGTTCTTATGTGGCTATGATTAAAACTGTGATACCTGTTAAGGCCTTGTTTCCTTTTATTGTTTTTCAAAGAATACTTTGCGAACACTCATCAGCTATCTGACATAGAGATATATGGTGTTTGGAGCATTTAATAATCCTCACAAAGCTGTGCATATTCCCACTATTTCTTTCTATTAAAACTTGAGGTTATATTAAAATTTCTTCATAGAGGCATGTGTACTGGCTTGCATATGAAAATTACCTTACATGTCTTCTAGAACTTTGACAATGTTCTTCAATACTGTGGTCTTCCCCTTTGTGTCCTAAAATATAGTACCAGAAAAATGTATGTTACTGGGAAATTATACAAAATGTAAATTATCTTCAGTGAATCTTAAAAGAATGCTTGACTTACTCACCGTATTCTTCTTTCTCGTTCAAAACTAAAATCAATGAGCACTAATCTCTAAGAAAGAATTGTCCCCTTAAGTAAAAAGTAAAAAAAAAAATTCACATTATTACCTGTAAAATTAAGGTTCCAGTAGGTTTCCAGCATCACATCTTTGTAGAGACTCTTCTGAGAGGGATCTAGCAATGCCCACTCTTCCTGAGAGAAGTTCACATGTACGTCCTCAAAGGTCACTGCATCCTAAAGTACACCATATACATGCATGTATGTATACATATATATATATATGATATGTACATGTAAATATATAAATTATACATATGTAGGTAATAGGAGTGATGAGATTGACTGCATTGTAAATGGATAGTTTATTGAATATATATTTACATAATTCTGTATGTTCAACATAGTAATTCCATGTCACAGAATTGTAAATGCAATCACTAACTCATTTTTGAAGAAAACAAGAGAATCATGCTTCTTATTTCTGTGCACAATAAATAGGATATGGGATTGCAGAAGAAATGTCTACTAACACATACAAAAAGACATGCAAACTGAGCAGTATTATTGAGAATACATCAGTAAGTTCTATCAAAATTACTAACTTTAAAAATGGACGGAAAAATGGCTGTGGTGATGCTTAATTTTAATCCCAGACTTCAGAAGGCAGAAACAGGTGACTCCCTATGATTTCCAGATCAACTTCTCCAAAGAGTTAAATATTACCTATAGAAATGTATTTATCTATTGGAAAACTGGTGTGACCCTGTATAAACTGTAAAGATAATATGATATTTCCATGAAGAAATGTACTTTTAATAAGTTACTGATAGATGACAAAGTTCTACAAAAATTATTAATGGAAATGACGGTCATAAGAAAAAAAAACAATAACACCAAGGAAAAAAATACCCTATATAAGGATGATACTAGAATGAAGATCACTTGTTGCTTTTGCAGAGGACCTGATCAAAGCCCAACCTTCACTTTGAGGCTCCCAACCATTCAGAACTCCAGCCAAGAGAATTCAATGTTCTCTTCTGACTTCAATGAACAGTAGGCTTTCACAAGGTATATATCCATAAATATAGGCAAAAGACAGATGCACATATTTTAAAAATTAAAAAAACACAGAAGGGTAGGAAGAATGTTACACACCTACAAACCAATCAGAGATCAGTGTTAATGTCATGCATGCATGCTACCCTGGTATAAAAAATTATGTCCTCTGAGAAAGTTCTAAAGTCAAGATATGGGTAAAGCTCAGTACAATAACAAATGCTCGACATGTAGACAAACCTAATTCCATAAGGTAGATATACAAACATAAAAATTTCAGGCTAAAAAAACTGCGCAGGGAAGAGCATTGCTTGTATTTTACCTTACATTATTTAGGGTCAGAGACTGTAATGTTGGTACAGTTATGGGTTCATGAGAAAGAAGTAGGCTGCTCAGCTTCAATCACAAAAAGAAGACAAGTGTGATAAGGGTATAAACACTCAAAGCCTATCCCCAGAGACTTTCTCCAAAAGGAATTTTGCCCTTAAAGGTACCATGAGCATGCCAATGAAAGCTACTAACCAGTTACAAATGGTCAATTACATCATCAAATCTGGGAGTGTTTTCATTCAACATACCATATTTCACACAGGTGATGATAGGCTCACACTCAACCCATACTGAAACAGGCATTTATCCTAACTTCCAAATCTCCACAGTACATCACAGTCTGAACACTGTTGAAATGTCCAAAGTTTCTCTTAACCTTCAAGAAATCTCTTAACTTTACGTCTTGTAAAATGAAAACACAGATCATACCTTCCCAACTCACAATACATATTTCTTTTGCAAAGAAGAAAAGATTGGACTAAGGTATCCTGACACCCTGCTGGACAAATATCAAATCCTGTGTCAGCCAACTGGGGATTCAATTTCAAAGGGCTTAGATGGCTCTTTATCTCTGCAACTTCCCATACTCCTTGTTCTTTGCCCACTTCCACTCCCTATATGCAGTATTCATGGCAGGTACCTCAAAGCTTGGGTATTTTAACATTTTGTGGTCTCAAAATGCAACCCAGGCTTTATTACCATGGATTCATGTCAAAACTCTCCCAGTTTCCTCACTGGATCGGACCATGCCAAACCTATGACTGAAATGGTGCTGAACACACAGAGGAAGAATCCATGAGCTTTAAAATTTGTATCTTTCTTCTTTCAAGAAAATGTAGCACATAGATGATACCACCATAAAAAGTTCTAGCTTGGGGTGTACCATGCTCAGTGAAACAAAGTAGCAGCAGGTTCTGTATGGAGTTGCTTTTTAGGACTAGGAATCACCTTATCTTTTCCTTCCACTGTTAAAACACTTTGCTGGGTGGCCCAGTAACATTACATTTTCTGTATGTCCAAAGAAGAGCAGGTACCTTCTTTTTAATGACCCTCACCTCCCTGATAATTTCTGCTTCTGATTCAGCACGTCTGCCATCTGAATTTACCTCGAGTTCTTTTTCTTCTCAAACCACATTTCTGCCCCTGGTGTTGCTCTTTTTCTCTACAGACCTGCAGAAATCATGAGTAGCAACCATGCCACAGACTGAATGTTTTGTCGAGAAATAAGTCTATTACTCTTCCTTTGAGCCTTAGTTGATTTCACAGGACAGGACAAAGAATAGAAAGATAATATGCTAAAATATTACACAAAAAACTGGTCTCAGCGACTGTTCTATTGCTTTGAAAAACACTATGACAAAGACAACTCATAATGCAATACTTTGGGGATTGATTACAGTGACAGAGGGTTACTTCATTATCATCTGAAAGGAAGCATCTTGGTGGGCAGCCATGGGGCTGATGCTAAGTCCTGATACAGAAGAAGGGAAGCAGAAAGAAACACTTGCCTTCTACTGGTCTTTGGAAACCTCAAAGTTTAGCTGCACACACCTAAACAAGCAAGACAAATCTACTCCCACAATGGCATACATCTTAATTTCACAGTGAGGACTACTAATCAGGGACCAAACATTCAAAAATAGGCACATAGCTTGATGTGGTGGTATACAACTGTTATCCCAGTGTTCACAGAGGCAGAGGCAGGCAGATCTCTGCTAGTTTGAGGCCACCTCATCTACAAAGTGAGCCCAGAAAAGCCAATGCTACACAGAGAAATCACATCTCCTAAAACCAAAAACCAAGCCAAAATTAAACAAAACAAAAACAAAAACAGGCACATGAGGCTGCTCAATATAAACCATGACATGAATATAACCTAAGGAGAAAAGAGCTCATAAAGAAAAGAATGAAAGATACTCTTGGAAACAAGAGAGAGAGAAGGAAAGAGAGAGAAAACAAGAGACACAGAGAAACAGAGAAAAGGAAGAAAATATTTCCTCTAAATACAGGGGAGCCAACTCCTCTTGATGGGTTACAAGTTTCCTTAATACAAACTTCCCTACCCTGTATAAGAAGAGATTGAACATCCTGAGGCCTCTAAATTCAGGTTTAATTATATATTTTTTTCTGTGAGTGCATGGTATTCTCCCGTTTCCCTCCCTACTCAGTCTTCTCAGAGAATCTCGGAAACCTTGGATCAGGTTTGGTAGAAGCAATGAAGGCAGTCTCTTGGTGTGCTTAAGTGTGACTGTTGGAGATGATGCCAACAGAAAGTTGCATTTCTGGGTAGAAGTGCCCCACAAGGCTACTAAAGTTTTAAGTTTGATTCAACTATTTTTAACAAGTTGAAATCTGAAAGTCTTAAATTCTAGCCCACATGGAGTCTCAGAAATCTGTCTGGTCACAGCCAAGACCATATTCAACTGTGATAAAATGGGAACAAGCAACATCTTTTGACTGGAAACCGAGGAGAAGGTGACACAAGTGGGTGGCAAGTCTTGGCTTCCCCAAACCAGTCTGTGTGGTGAGACATGGACAGGCTCAATTGTCTCTGCTTGCAACCATGGAAATCTTTCCTCTGTACCTTAGCTGTGGGGGGTTAGCAGGGAGCTGAGCTAAGCTTGTGTACAAAGCAACCATGTGGTTTGCAGCCATCTTGGCTATTATGTCAATATTACATTACAACAATACAGAATTTGAGCTATAGAGTAAAAAATGTCCAACAAAAAGTATCACCATGTACGCTACCAACAACAGGAAACTGATGGGAAAAGATAATCATGAATGAAAAAATGATCAACACACAAGACTGGATACATACTAAAAACAGTGACATTCTTTGAATTCAAATCTTTGAAGACAACTGCTATAAAGACAACACTGTCTGGGGAAAAAATAAAGAGATTAGCAGAACATGAGAGCAAACTTAGAAAAGAAAAACACAAGTCAAATAAAGTAAATGTTGCTTATTAAGACCAGGAAACCCAGGAAGTCTGGCCTTGCTAATACACATGGCATCTACACTCAAACGTGTTAACAACAGACTTTCCACCTGCACAGAATTAACTACAGATGGTCCTACACCTGAATGTTAAGTGCCAGAGTCAGAACTTCTCGAAGACACTTAGAGAAACTAGGACTCAGCGAGTCAGCAAATCTGCCTTCCCTGGTGACAGTAAATGCAGCTGAGGTGAGCTCATTACATAGTGACATCAGCAACAAAGACTTTTCCACATGTTAGACCCAGCATGAGTCTAATTTTCAGAAAGGATGAAGAGAACTCAGGAGACGGATCTCATAGATGGAAAATCGCAAGAGGTTTATTTTAACCATCGTGCAATGGGGTCACCTCTGCTGGTCAGCAAAGAGTGGCACTGGGAAACAAAGGCCTTGGGTTTTTAAAGGACAATTTTTAGGGGTTGCAGTCTTGGCAATTCAGGATTGGATGAGGAAGCTATAAAGTAAGATAAATGGTTAGTCTTAGGTGTCCTGCCAAGTGTGGATGCGGCTGCAATTAAAGGTAGGGATGGGGGTGGGGTGATTAGCTCATCCTTGAAGATCGGGGCTTCGGGCTTTTGGCTGGAAGTCAGGGGCTACTCAGAAGAAGGTTTGAGGCCATCTGGGTTGGTTGCTAAGAAACTATCTCCCAGACAAGTGTGGTCATTCTTTTTGCTGGACGAAAGTCATTGCTTGCTCGCTTTCTTATCTCTACTCACAGACGGCCAGGGTCACATTCCTCTGTTCTCTGGAGAAGTACTAAGAGGCTTTAGCTTAACCTGGGCCTAAAAGAATATAGGCTTTAGAAGACATATAGGTTACAAAGTTAGTCTGATTCTTTCACACACAAG